ACGTCGTTTAGATCAGATATCTGCAGAGTTCTTAAAATATGGTGGAGATCGTTTGGTGCAAGAGCTCACTGTGGGTGACAGGAATGCACCTCTGAAGATTGGAGCAGGGAGTAATCATTAAAGTACCAAAGAAATGGAACATCAGTGATTGTAACAATTGAAGAGGTATAATGTTGCTATCAGTCACTGGAAAAATTCTGTGCCTTGTATCGCTCAATAAATTGCAGTGTCAAGTGGGAAACACACCAGCATGAAGAAGAAGCAGGATTCAGAAAAGATGCTCTTGTAACAACCAGAACCCGACCTTAAGAAATATCATCGAACAGAGTATTGAATTCCAGAAGTTAGTGGTAATCAATTTTATTGACTTTAAAAAGGCATTTGACTCAACTCATTGAGAATCACTATGGAATATTGTAAAATCCTATGGTATTCCTCAATGTTTTTATCAACATCTTGAAGAGTCTGTATTATAATTCCAGCTGTTATATATGAATGGAATCTAGAGACACAACCTTCTTTAATGCCAATACATGAGTAAGATAGAAATGTATACTATCGCCATTCTTGTTTCTCCTGTCCATGGGCTTTGTTATGCATAGAGCGATAACAAAGCTTTGGCATCACATGGATAACAGTTCATTTAACAGATTTAGATTTTCCAGATGATGTTGCATTGCTTGGTGAAGCAAAAGGTGCTTGCAAGAAATGACCACCAGTTTAGATAATGACACCAGCAAGATTGGCTTACATATACATTTGAGAAAATCAAGACCATTTATGCAAGTAGGAAGTGCTCAGGGAAATATAACAGTCCTATAACAGTCCGTGGCCTAGCTATAGAACAAATCCAACAATTTATTTATCTTGGTAGCATTATGTCTATCAATGGAGATACAGATATGGAAATTAACTATTGAATTGGAATGCAGTGGTCATGTTTCAGTGCACCTGCCCAATTTGGCAGCCATAAGTATTACTACAAAGATAAAACTGTTCAAGAGTTTGTCATACCATATATTTGTCACGCAATATATGCTTGTGAAACATGGAAGTGTACAATCAAGATGATTAAATGTTTTCAAACAATGCTGCTTGAGAAGAATCCTCAGTGCCTTTTACAGTGACCACATCACTAATGAAGAGGTACTACAAAGATCAGATTTGGAACACCTATCAAGTATGATGAATGAACATTGAATGCAGTTTGTTTACCATGTCTTACCATGCCTAAAGACCAGCATCCAAAAATTGCACTATGTTTGGATATCTCCTGGAGGAAAGAGAAAACAAGGCTGGCCTTGGAAAACTTGGTGCCAAACATTTAAGGAAGCTCTTAAGATTATTAATGTCTCTTGAGACACTGAAGATGCTGAGAATGATTGAAAAATTAAATGTTATAGAACATCAGATTTGGAAATCCATAGGTTTTCACAGAGTAGTTTAAATCATTCTTGGGAAACTGCAAAATATTTCAACATTCTTAATTTTCCAGACCGAAGAAAGTGTTTCAAGGGTTAAATGCAAAATCCTTCAATTTGCTCTTTTGCAGATAATATCCTAATATCTCATTAGCGGAGCATACCTGCCTGTGAAATCTGTGAAGAGATAGAAATAGTTCATCGCTTACATATTGTAATTCTATAGGGATGTTCAGAAAATATACCTTATTCTTTCAGTGTCAATACACAGCAAGAATATATAATTATATAATAATTTGTATAATTTATAATATGTTCCAGGGGTTGAAATCTAAAATTTGTTACTACTGGTTCTGTGGGCGTGGCTTGGTGGTAGTGATGGTAATGTGATGGGTAGGCGTGGTCAATTTTTTTTAAAATTATTTTTTCTACAACCTCTTTGGCGAAGAGGTTGTAAAAAAATGCTTTCAAAAGGCTCTGACGATCCCAGCTGAGTTGCCTGATCGACAGAGGTTTTTTTTCTTTTAAATGCCTCTGACGATCAGGCAACTCAGCTTGGATCGTCAGAGGCATTTAAAAGAAAAAAAGGGGGGGTTTTCTTTTAAATGCTTCTGATGATCCAAGCTGAGTTGCCTGATCAGCAGAGGCTTTTTTTCTTTTAAAAGCCTTTGACGACCCCAGCTGAGCTGTGCGATCATCAGAGGCTTATTTTTTTTACTTTTAAAAGCATTTTTTCGGCCGAAGAGGTTGTAGAAAAAAATGCTTTTAAAAGTAAAAAAAAAAAGCCTCTGATGATTGTGCGGCTCAACTGGGCATGTGGGGGTGGGGGTGGGCAGGGATTTTTGCTACCGGTTCTCTGAACCACCCGCCTCCATCGCTACCAGATTGGGCGATCTGGTCCGAACCAGGAGCATTTCACCCCTGATATGTTCTCTAAAATGTACATTTATTTATCACTTGTACAGAAGTTCAACTTTGACTTCCAGCAATGAAGAGGCAACAGCTAATAACTAATGTTGTTCAGACAACTAAGCCTATTATTTATATTTTTATGTAATTTCCTGATTGTGGATTAAAATAAGATTGACTAATCAGATTTAGAACTACTAAAGCTTCCTATCTGAAAAACATCCTTATGAAAACGTACGTATGATCATTGTGTAATTTGCAATTTCTCCACTGTGTATCAGATTTTTTAAAGAAAGGGTTATTATGCTTATGCCCAGATACACTAAAAAAATATTTTAAAATGTTATTTTATATTTCAAAATCTTATTAGAGCCTTTCATCTTTGTATGTAAAATAGCTCTATGTATTATGAGGAGTGCTGTAGTTTACTTCCTTATTAATTATTTAGTCTGTATAACTTTAAGTTCTAGTGTTATGGAAGAAGTCAGTTTCTGTACTTTCTTATTATACCCATAATTTGAACAGTACATGTACATACAAAAGGGTATGGCTTTGGGTGCTCATTTGTGATTGTCATCTTAACTTTTTTTAATCCCCAATGCATATGTTGCTGGGGGGGAAATAGGGAAGCAAATATAAAATACTTGTAGCTTCCATTTGCAAGTGTACTAGGCAAACAGCAGGTATTGGAGCATTCCTTTCAATGCACATTCCGCAGTGAAAGCTCACTTTCCTGTAGTCTCTTCCTTTTCAGTTAATATAAATACAAACATCCATTTCCTTCTTGCTAATTATTCCAGCTCTGGGGTGAGCATTCTTAAGGGAAGTAGGGGAAAGGACATGTCCTTTTATCCAGTTTCTTTATGAGTCAAATTCCAGAAATCTTCCCCGGTGTTTGGGTTCAGTAGCTGTTTGGGATCATATCTTTTTGATGCTTTTAAAAAAAAGCTGAACTAAAATAGTCAGAATCACAAGATTTTCCCTTAGTGACCACTTTGCCTAATCACTAAGTTGCAGAAACCAATTGCATACAATCAGTGGTGGGTTTCAAAATTTTTTACTACCGTTCTGTGGGCATGGCTTGGTGGGCGTGGCATGGCTTGGTGGGCATGCCAGGGGAAGGATACTGTAAAATCTCCATTCCCTCCCAAATCCAGGGGAAGGTTACTGCAAAATCTCCATTTCCTTCCCATCAGCTGGGACTTGGGAGGCAGAGAATAGATGGGGGCTGGGTCAGTCAGAATTTTTACTACCGGTTCTCTGAACTACTCAAAATTTCTGCTACCGGTTCTCCAGAACTGGTCAGAACCTGCTGAAACCCACCTCTGTATACAATGTGTTCTAAGTGACTAATGGTGAGCAGGTGAGTGTGTGTGTGAGAGAGAGAGAGAGAGAGACAGAGAGACACAGACAGAGAGAAAGTTACTTTTTCATCCCCATCGGTCACTGTTCGAAGCTGTGACTAAAAACATCGACAAATTGATAAATTGAGTCTGAGCATTTGTAGTGAGAACTCTGGATTGATTTGTTCAGTTATCCACTAATTTATTTGCATGGTTATACAATGGTATTCTCAGGATTCTTCTCCAACCCCAGTGTCCCAAAGCATCATACATTTTCTATCCTCCTTCAAGTTCTACAGAGCATCACAGAGAATTCCACTTCTTCATTTTATCTTTTTCTAGGCCTTCATGGCTGCTCAACCAAGATCTAGTTTGTAATGTAATTCTTGATTGCCTTTTTATTTACTGATGATAGTTGAGCCTAAAAGACGAAAGCTATGTACAATTTCATTATCAATTCTAAGACTGGTGGTTCTTTCCATTGTCTTGCAAGTTATTTTTTCTCAATGGTTCAGTTCCTATTCAGCCTATAAGTTGTATAAATAATGAAAGCACATACAGACCTGGATCAGTCCTTTGCCAATTTGGAGCCCATCTGGTTTGCCATGTACTTTCCATAGTGTGACATCATGAGCTGCATATATGTTTGTATAGGGACAATGAGATGCTCTTGGATTTCCATTTTAACAATCACATTCTACAACTTGACATGGTTGACACAGTTGAAGGCCTTTCTATACAATTGTGGATATGCTTATTTCATGCATGTTTAAGCTTTACTTGGTTTTTGACAGGATGTGATGTATAATTCGCTTTGGCATACAAAGCCTTTTTATACCTCTTCAGATATCTTTATTTGTGATAGTATCATGTGGCAATCTGAATGAACTTGAGTTCATTGAAGTTTGTATCATAATACATTCTTGGACTTTATAAAATTCCATCTGAAATATATTATGCATGATAAGGTTTCACCCTTTAGTATCACTGATTTTAAATATGTGGATGTGGGTGTGATTAATTTATTAATTTAATTATTTATTGAACACAACATTGAATATTGTGTTTTCAAAATTGTTATGAGCAGTTATTTTAAAATGCTCTAGAAGATTTAAAAATAATAAAAGTTATAAAAGTTGGAAGAGGAATTCTTTCATGTTTAGAGCTGTAAGTCTGTATTGTGAACAGTTTATTTATTGTATATTGTTAAATATTTTATAATTTAATTTATTTAATAAATAAATTGAATTTATTTAATAATTTATATTTTATATAATTTATTTAATAAATAAAGAATTTATTATATTCTGTCTTTTATTTATTGCAGGGCAGCACAATTATTTATGTGCGGGACGAAACGACTGTATAATTGACAAAATTCGAAGAAAAAACTGTCCAGCTTGCAGATTACAGAAGTGTCTTCAAGCTGGAATGAATTTAGGAGGTAAGTAAACTATGATTATTAGTACTTTCTATTATTTTTCATTTTATTTCGCAAATATATGTTACACCTGATTCTTTTTAAACTAGTATTAGATAGATGAACTTGGAAGCTCTGTCCTGAATTCCTTTACTGGGAAAGAGACATTCTATAAAACATCATAAACGGGGGTGAAATGCTCCCAGTTCAGACTGGATTGCCCAATCCAGTAGCGATGGAGGCGGGTCATTCGGAGAACTGGTAGCAAAAATCCCTGCCATCCCCCCATTCCCATCTGAGCTGCACAATCATCAGAGGCTTTTTTTTTACTTTTAAAAGCATTTTTTCTACAACCTCTTCAGCCGGAAAAATGCATTTAAAAGTAAAAAAAAAGCCTCTGATGATCAAAAAACCCTTTTTTCCTTTTAAATGCCTCTGACGATCCAAGCTGAGTTGGATCGTTTAAAAAAGCCTCTGCTGATCAGGCAACTCAGCTGGGATCGTCAGAGCCTTTTGAAAGCATTTTTTTTTTACAACCTCTTCACCGAAGAGGCTGTAGAAAAAATGGTTTTAAAAGTAAAAAAAAAAAAATTGGCCACGCCTACCCAGTCACATTACCCCCCCACCATGCCACACCCACAGAACCAGTAGTAACAAATTTTAGATTTCACCACTGATCATAAAATCTTACTGTCATTCTCATTTTAAAAAAATAAACAATGGTTCAGAATAAGAACAATGAGAGTTAGATGATGACTGAAATTTTAGTGGAAGATCAGGCAGCTAATTGGACTGAAATATTGGATAGGACATGTTGGATGGATTTTCTTTCCTTGTTTTATTGTTTTTGTGGTAGTGCTGTGAAAACATTCCAATAAAATATCAGGTTTAACCAGACAAAAACTATGTATTATCTGCCAGATCTCCTGCTATGTTCCAGCTTAGAAAAAAATTAATTATAGTAAAAATATGGGGAAAGTATAATTTAATTGCATAACTATACTGATAGTATTTTAATTATATTATTTCATATTTATCCTGTTAAATAAGTAGCATAACTTTCCAGTTCACTTTTTAAAAGGGAACTGAATAATTAAAGTTTTGCCCATTAAAAAAAAGATGAATAGAATAGAATAACAGAATTGGAAGGGACCTTGGAGGTCTCCTAGTCCAAACTCCTGCTTAGGCAGGAAACCCTACACCACTTCAGAAAAATGGTTGTCCAATCTCTTCTTAAAAACTTGAATGAAATTGGAGATTATCAGAATGCAGAATGTCCTCACTTCTGAATCTTTTGTGTTTGGGCATTTGTATAAGTCTTCCTTCAGAAGAAGGGAAAAAATTATCTTGCTCATTAAAGTGAAAGCAGCAATTGAATCTGGAAGCTTCATCAGATTGATGGAAGTTATATTGTGGCATTGCAATGCAAGATTTGACCTTTCCATATATGCATGTGTGTGTTGTGTACAAAAGAGATGGATGATATATGTTGTGATATATGTTTCCTTAGTTGCTTCACACAAACATCTATCAAGGCTGAAGGGATTCTTGCAGCACCTTTCTAACACATTTTATTAAAAGGCCTAACATTAATAATCTGTGGCTGACTTCACTAACAGCTCATAAAAGCTTATACCTTTTAATAAAATTCGCTAGCCAGAAATGATCCTATTTGATTTCCGGCTTTTGGCACCATAGTTTGACATGGTTCTCCTCCTACATTGCCATGAAAAGCAGCTCCCAAATTTATGTAAATACAGAGTATAACTGAATGACGTAAAATAACACATATTGATTTCATGCGTCTCTTCAAAAAGTTGTATTTTTCTATTCTTGTGCTCTGATATTTCAGTGTAGCACATCAGAGAAACAGAGAGGCATCTCTTCATTTATTTGCAATTTTATATATATATATATATATATATATATATATATATATATATATATATATATATATATATGTAGGTCTTTGGTTATTCGGGTCTTCTCCCCGTAAAATTGGAAGTGTCTTGGCGACGTTTCGACGAAGTCTCATTCGTCATCTTCAGGCTGGTGTTCTCGGCTTCGTGCTTCCAGGCTTTCATTGCTCCTTCTCGGCACGAAGCCGAGAACACCAGCTGAAGATGACGAATGAGACTTCGTCGAAACGTCGCCAAGACACTTCCAATTTTACGTGGGAGAAGACCCGAATAACCAAAGACCTACATACAAACACCGCGAAAACCTGAGAAAACAAATATATATATATATATATATATATATATATATATATATATATATATGTGTGTGTGTGTGTGTGTGTGTGTGTGTGTGTGTGTGTGTGTGTGTGTGTGTTTCTTCTAGCCAGGTTTTCCCTACGTAGCCAAGGTTTTTTTGTAGCTCCAGCTCAGTAAAAAACCTTGGCTACGTAGGGAAAACCTGGCTTGCAGAATTCCAGATGATCACAAGGCTGTAGTTTTTTTATATCTCCTTGTGCCAAATACTTGTAATCTGTATTTTTGCAGAACAGAAATGGTAACTGTAGTAGTTACTTATTGTAAAAGTTTCTTTTAGCTGTAAAGAAAATATTTTGTCTGCAGTTTCTGCAAAGTGTACTTTATTATATATCACTCAGACATGAGAAGTTGTAATGGGTTTAAACTATAGATGGCTTAAATGGGTAGAAGAATCCTTATTATTGTAGAATAGAAAAATAAAAAAAATAAAAGTTACTCTTCAGTAAGAGGTGGAATCAAGGAGTGGAGCAAGAGAATCTTGAGGCTAGAATGAAAAATAGGGATTGGTTTCTAGGACTTGAAAAGTTCAGCCAAAGGGAACATTTGGGTGTGGAAGCAACAAGAGAGCAAGTTGAAAAGAGAATGGACCATTCTTGGCTCTGGTTGAGACAAAATTGTTTGAACAAAGTTAGCAGGAGAGTTGGCTGACAATGCATAAGCTAGCTAGAGAATAGTGCCGGAAAATGAAAGTGGGGTGAAGGTGGATGTAATAAAAGATCTGTTTGTTTTGCTGAATTTTAAAATTCAGAAAGCTTGCTTAAATAATTTAAAAGTGCATTTCTAGACATTTGACATAGTATGCTAATACATAAAAATAGTTTACATTTAGCAATTATTTATACATTTCATATGAATATGGGTCTGATTAATCAGTTGATTTCATCCTATTGATTAATTTAATTATATTATAATTATATTATTCCAGAGTGAATGAATAATGATGCATACAAAGATCTACATTTATGTTTACTTTTTATTAAATAAAAAGAGCTTATACAACAATAGCAATAGCACTTAGAATTACATACCGCTTTACAGCCCTCTCTAAGTGGTTTACAGAGTCAGTATATTGCGCCCAACAATCTGGGTCCTCATTTTACCCACCTTGGAAGGATGGAAGGCTGAGTCGACCTTGAGCCTGATGAGATTCGAACTGTCAAATTGCAGGCTGCTGGCAGTCAGCAGAAGTAGCCTGCAGTACTGCACTCTAACCACTGCTCCACTGCAGCTCATACAGTGTAAAAAGAGGCTCACATTCTGTATAGTCTAAATGCATGTTAATTTTTCATATAAAGTTATGTTAATAAATAACTAATAATTAATTATAAGAGATACCTTTAACACCACCAAACAGCAGCATCTTCCAGGTCCTTGGAAAGGATTCAATAGATGAATAAAAATACCAAATAAAAATATAATTTAATTTAATTTAATTTAATTTAATTTAATTTTGAATTTATATACCGCCCTTCTCCCTGAGGACTCAGGGCGGTGTACAGCCAAGATAAAAAACATAGAATACAAATATTAAAACATTTAAAAATATATATAAAATTTGGCCCAAAAAATTAAAAATCGCAGACTAATTAAAAGGATTTTAAAATTTTAAAATTTTAAAATTTCTTCTTAAGCCAACCCGGCTTGCTGAAAAAGATAGGTTTTCAGGGAACGACGGATATAAACATCTGGCTGACTGTGCCCAAAATCATAATAATGAAAAGAATATATCTTGGAATTCTAAAGTTAAAAGGGGCCATTTAGGCCACTGAGTCTACTTTCCTGCTAAATGCAGGCATCGAAATTAAAGTGTCATGAAGAGATGGCTGTCTAGCTTCTACTTGAATACATCTGCTGAAGAAGAGCCCATCACCTCCCTGGCTAATTGCTTACGTTGTTGAACCGTTCTTACCATTAGGAACTTTCTTCTAACATTTAACAAGAACTTCTTTTCCAAGAACTTAAATGCATTTTTCAGTGTTCTCTACTCTGGAAGAAGATAAAACAGGTCTCAGTTTTCTTTTATGCGACTCCCTTTCATGTATTTGAAGAGTGCTATTATATCTACCCTCACTTATCATTTCCTGAGGGAAAATACTCAGCCTCTTTGGTTCTTCTTCGTAAATCAGTTGCTGCTCCCTTATCATTCGATTGCTTTGTCCAATTTCTCTGAATCTTTCATAGAACATGGTGCTTGGTACCACTCACTGCGCCAATAAACTTTGATAAGGAGAAAATAAATTATTTCTCGAGATTTGGGTATCACTGCTTGGTGAAACCTAAAATTTCTTTTTCTTTTTTTTTTGCAGCCATCAATGGCTCAGTTTGTGCCAAACTGTTATTGTAACAAACTATTGTTTAAAAATATTTTTAAAAATATCATTATCATATGATATTTCCTATCTAGTAACTCTGTTTTTTGATGTTTATTTCCTCAGTGAAGAATGTTGAACATGTCCGTTTTAAATTTCATTCTTACATTTAGCCCATTTATTGAACCTATCAATTTTATTACTTTCTCCTCTATTTCATTCAATTTTTGCAAATTTCATAAGAATTCTTTCCACTTCTTCATCTATTAATTAATTAATTAATGAAATTATCCAGTAATGACCGTTAGTCCACTCCATTTGATACTTTTCTTTAATTTGATGAGAATCCACAGAGAAGGGCTTTTGAGCTAAATATGTATCCACTTAATTGTCATGCCATATGGTTAACATTTAAGTAGCTTGCTAATCAGTATGTGATTGGATACTTTATCAAATGTTTTATATGTACTGTGTCTAAATAAATCATTATTATATTACGGAACTTATTTGATCAACAGGCACCTCTTTTGTTCTACCAACTTGTATTCTTTCTTTCTGATTTGGTCGTCTTTCATTTCCTCTGTCTTATTTTCAAGTTTTCTGTGTAGCCATTTTGAGTTCTTTTTTTGTTCCTCCATTTGTTATTCTCCATTGAGATTGTATTAGTTCTTTCTTGAGGAATGCAACTTATCCTGAGTTCTTTTTCCCATTATTTTTCCTGCTATGAGATCCTATTTAACATGGCTCCAAATTTACTAAAATTTGCTTTTCTAAGTTTAAGACATATGTTTGATTATGTTTTAGTTTCTCTTTAAATCAAAAACTCCAGCATTACATAAGTCCTATTACTTCCATTTCCTCTACTAAATCTTCTTTATGGTTAAAATCAAGTCCATATTAGCTGATCCTCTTGTGTCTTCTTCTACTGGACTGGAGAACTTGCTGGAAGGATCATCCTTGACAGACTTTTTCATCTAAGAAATTTTGAGTTTTTCTCATCACTACAATATAATGCCTTTTTAAAGATCTGTAGTTTCTTTTTGGAAAGCATTATTGGTATCATCTCCTTGGCTAGAAATTAAGAATAGGCATGAACAACAATGTGGCTTCTATTTTGTTCCACTTATTTTAATCCAGCATTGCCAAATCCATTCTTCAGGCTTTCTGAATATATTTTTAACATTCAGTGGAAATGCTTTTCTCTTTCTATAGTATTGCTTCAGGTTTTTTTGAACAAATACCATAGTATGTTTCTGTTGATGTACCGCAGTCATCGTTATTCTTACATTCTATTGTATCTTTTAAATCATATTTGTAATTTTGCACAGAGAGTTCATGTTGTTTTTACTTATATTCTGACACATTTTATCCTCCATTCATCATCTGGATAATTCAGCCATGATCAGAAAACAAATTTCTGCTCAGTATCTTTTCCAATCATTTTCAGTATTATTTTTTTTTGTTTCACTTTCCTGCACTCTTCCATATATTGGAAGAACAGATAAGTCTCATGTCCCAATTTTTAAAAAGTTTTTCAAGGATACACTTTTAGCTGGTGTTTTTCTCCCTGCATGTATTAATGAGAAAAGATAACTGTCAGCAGGCTTGATAAATCTTGGAAGTTGTCCTGTCACATCCTTATTCTTCACTCCTAGGTTTCAATGTACTTTATGAACTAATAAGTATGATTTGAATACATTTGGTCCATTTCCTCATAGAAGTAAATAATCAGTTACTGTGACTATTCTCTTTGTTTTTTATTAGGATATAATTGAACCCTTTCTGTCTTGTTCCTATTCTGAAGATCTGTTTTTATTTCCTTAATACTTAGAACCTGTTTCTTACGCAAAGGTCAATAAACTGTTTGTAATATTTTTTTTGCTAGTGGATATTATTCTGATCCACTAAAGGTATTCTTGTGTTTCTCTTCCTTACAGAACAAATTAACATTTTTTATTGGAAAACTTCCTTTGGATTAATTTATCTTTATTCTTTTCCAATAATGTGTGATTTCATTTACTTCAACTCTGATAACTTGTTTTGATGGCAATGTCTTTTGTATGATGTATTTAGTTGCATTTCTTTATATATCTAGATCTAGCTCTACCCATTCACAGACATGATATAGATAGAAATGTGTGTATATATGTATGTATGCAAGTTTTGGTGTATTCAGGTCTTTTCCCGTGTACGATTGCGAGTATCTTGGTGACGTTTCGATGAGGTCCCACTCGTCATCTTCAGGCTGGTGTCTTCGGCTTCGTGCTTGTGCAAGGAAAGCGTGATCAGAGCTGCTGTCTCTCTATAAATACTGGTGGGGAGGTGTGGGGTACTGCCTTTGTTGCTGTGAGCGGGTTGGTTGCCTGTGTTGTTACATCTTGATTAGTTGATGGAGTTGGTGTTTGCAGATTAGTCAGCTGTTTCGTAACATCCTGTGTGGGTGAGGTCCTTGATGTGTGCCCATTAGTATTGTAATTGACATTATCTATAGCAGCAATCCCCATCCGTTCTGGTACCAGGGACCAGTTTTGGGGAACACAATTTTTCCATGGACTCGGTGCAGGGGAGGATGGTTTCACACACAAGCTAGATCCTGGGCATGTGGAGATGAAACTTTGCTTGCTTGCTCGCCTGCCACTTCCGTGGCTCGGTTCTTGACAGGTCACAGACTGGTACCAGTCCATAGCACAGGGGTTCGAAATCCATTGAAGTATAGGCCAAGGTATATTACAACTGAACTGAATGCATTTTAAATGACAAATCTGAAGATAATAAATAAATAAATAAATAAATAAATAAATAAATAAATATCAGTTGCCACTGTTTCTTTGAAAAAATATTTTATATAACAATTGACGCATTTAAATAACATTAATATAAATTCATGTTTATGAAGTTTATACTATGAAGAATGGAATGTCAATAAGGAATTATAAAAATACTTATAAATTTTTATTTAAAAAAATTATAAGATAATACCAAAAAGCATATTTATATCTGTGTGTCTGGATTATTGTAATTGAGTTTGGATAAAATAATCTATAATGCAGACTTGTTTGCCATTCAAGAACATAAAAGTTATGTAGTTGGTTTGGTCTACAGTAATATTTGCAGAATACATGCAATTTTGTTTAAAAGAAAAAAATTATTGGAAGTTCTTAGTTTGTGACCCAGGTTACTAATGATATGAGAAGGTAATAAAGATTTAAAGTATAATTTTGGTAGCTGTTACTTGAGTTGCTGCACTTAACAATATTTCTGTTAATTATTTTAAAGGAATTATAAAGTGCAATTTCAAAACTAGTTGAGAAAAAGCTTAGCTGAGAATACTGCAAAACAAAAGAGCAAGAAAATAATAAGTGATTCAGTTAATAAAGGGAAACTTAAATGGCTTACGATGGAATACTGTTATAATTTGCTTTAATCTCTATGCACTTTCCTGCTTCAAAATATATTGCTATTATTATTAAGAGTTTCAATTATTATTAAGAGCCGAGGTGGTGCAGTGGTTAGAATGCAGCCCTGCAGACTATTTCTGCTAACTGCCAAGTGCCAGCAGTTTGGCAGTTCAAGTCTCACTGGCTCAGGGTTGATTCCAGCCATTTTACAATCCAAGGTCGGTAAAATGAGGATCCAGATTATTGGGGGTGATATGCTGACATCTAAACCGCTTAGAGAAAGCTGTAAAGCACTGTGAAGCGTATATAAGTCTAAATGCTATTGCTATTATATAATACAATATTATATAATTATTCAATTATTGACCTGGTTTTTCCCAATGCCATTTGTGTGTTTTACATAGCTAAAAAAAAAAAAAGATAGATAGTTTCTGGTGTTGTATGATACAACTACATTCTTACCCCGTTTTCTGATTCATCTTTGCTACAGCCCGGAAGTCGAAAAAATTGGGCAAGTTAAAAGGTATCCACGAAGATCCACCTCAGCAGCAGCAGCAGCAGCCACCACAAAGCCCAGAGGAAGGGATTACATATATTGCTCCAGCAAAAGAACCTTCTGTGAACACAGCACTTGTTCCTCACTTATCTGCAGTTTCACCAGCACTTACTCCCTCGCCTGCTATGGTTCTAGAAAACATCGAACCTGAAATTGTATATGCAGGATATGATAGTTCAAAACCAGACACAGCGGAACACCTGCTCTCCACTTTAAATCGTCTTGCTGGCAAGCAGATGATTCAGGTGGTAAAATGGGCAAAGATCCTCCCAGGTAATGGAACTCTGTAAGACTACCCTTACTTTTTAACATGGCCATTCTGAGTTTAAGGTATGCTTTGCTCAAAAGAATGTGTTAGAACTTCTTTTGTATAAAGAATATATTCATCATTAGAAAACATGTGTACAGTTTTCCTCCATGTGGGTTGGGGCTCCAAATTCTCAGAACAGGCATTGTGGGAGATATAATCTAAAAATATCTGGAGGTTTTAGAAAGGATCCATTAGCTGCATGATACCACTTATATCCATAAATATAGACATATGCTCAGAGTATTTCCAAAATACAAGTAGTTGTTGTTTTTGTTGTTATACAAGTTATAAATATTTGCTTAGAACATATAAAAATATAGCAGTGTGAACAGAAATTTTGTCCCCTTTTTAGAATAAATCTTATATTTTCATGTGTGTTTGAGAATAACCAGTTTCAGATCTTTTCCTGAAATATAGCTCATAATATTACTAACCAGGGCTCTGTTATAGAAGCCACCTCCGCATTGTAAGGCCAGTCCACCAGCCTGCCAGGTGATGTTCCCCAGCTCCTTTCTTACCCTCCCTCCCCTTATTCTACACATGTTATCAACAATATTTTTAGCTTCAGTTATAGAATTTCCAAGCTGATGCAGACTATCTACCTCTCTTGCATTTTCTTTTTCTTATTCCAAGAACCTTGGTGATAGCTAAGGGGAGGTATGGAAAATAAGACACTGAGAAAATCAAAAGAGGGTGGATTTTAAATGTTGCAGATAAAGCCAAAACCATAACAATGGTTATGACTGAGTTACAGCACCACATATCCAACAGAGCTGCCTGCTCTCCCCATATCTTTTTAATGCTTTCCCCTTTCTAACCTCTCCTTAATTGTGGTATATCACCAATCTGCCTGGCTCATTCCTGATCCTTTTCCAAATTGTTTGGCCTGAAATACAGATTTTCAGTCCAGACACAGATCACTGCAAAATAATTGTTCCATGCATAGGTGGCTTCATGAGTCTGCATAGATTCGCAATCATCCAGGTCATGGTTGTCCCAAAGGTGCTTTTTCAGGAGGCAACTGGACTTTCTTGTTTCTTCAAAAGAAAAAACAAGAAAGTCCAGTTGCCTCCTGAAAAAGCACCTTTGGGAGGCTTCATGAAGAAATGTTTTTCACATCAATAAGATAAAGTTTTAAAATTAGAATTTATGTTTCCTGACAGGGCTAAATCCGTGTTTGTATTTCTGGGTGTTAAGGAGTTCTTTTGCTACTAAAGATTTACTAATCCTTTTTTTCTTTTTCTCTTCAGGATTTAGAAACTTGCCTCTTGAGGACCAAATTACTTTAATACAGTATTCTTGGATGTGTTTATCGTCATTTGCCTTGAGCTGGAGATCATACAGACATACAAATAGCCAGTTTCTTTATTTTGCTCCTGACTTGGTCTTTAATGAGTAAGTTATCCAATAAATGCTTGCTTTTCCAAGGAAGTTTATAAAATAAAGCTCTGCTACAATGTATACATATAGAATGCAAAGCTGTGAAGGAATACAAACACTGGGAAATGAGCATATGGAAACATCTTTCTCACATGTGTTTTTCTTGCCCTTATCTTTAATTTGCATCTGTCATTGTATGTGCTTCCAAAGCTTCAACATTTAATTGGCTTTGACAAATAACTAATACGTAACTTAAAGAAAAAGAATATTCAACATATCTATTTACTTTTACACAATTTGAGAATATTTGTATTATTTTTAAAAAGTTTATTGAGAGAAATTGTTCTTGTTAGGAGTACACAGGAGCTCAGTGTAAATTCATTACAATGACAATTACTAATTTTGGAAGAAGCCTTTTTTATATCATACAGCAATAATTGTAAGTGTCATTTATTTCATTGCTGTGGGCTCCTTCCTTTTCGACCTAGAAACATTAAATCTTGTCTATATTAGCCATGCCATAAAAACAAGGATTCAAATCAAAAACACTGCTGAAGCTCATGTGAAGGAAGTGAGCTACTTTGATGAAATTATTTATTCTCTTTTTTAATGGAACAGCAGCAACAGATACCATATTGCAAATTACTCTTGAAATTGTTTTAGGTTATTAAACTACCTTTTGTGCCCTAAGAGTGGAGAAAAAAAAATCAAAGTTACTTGCAGAAAATGTTTAATAGTTCCTCAGATGCTGTTTATGAAAACTAAAAACTCTCAATCATACTTTTAAGAGTTGCTTAGTGCAGTAAAATTAATCTGACACTGGAGATCTATTATATATTAATTGCGCTGGATTGAGATGAATTTTGTGTAAATGAAATTTTGCATTATGTTAAAATACATGGCTATTTTTTCCCTCTTCTACTTACCTAAAACCTAATATAGGTGAACCTCCAATGGTTGTGCCTGTAAGGTATTAATAAAGTATTTAAATAATTAGAAGATTATTGGAGCTAGTAATGAAGTCTCAGTACCAGAAGTCCAGTTTTTTTCTTTGTCGCACTATTTTTATAAAAATAACAGGGCAACATATTATCCAGATCAGTCTTTGTCAACTGATTTTCTGTGGAAATCTACAGTTCTCTGAGACATTGCTAGATGTTCTGCAAACTATCACGATTGCAAAAAAAGCATCATTTTTTAACTTTGTGTGCTATATATTGCTAGCACTTGGATGGTGGGAATAATTTAACATGCTGTTGCTTATCTGTCAGACTATTGCTTTGGTGTTGTAAACATTGTAGGTTGGGACTAAATTGTATTGTAAAGTTTTCATATTTTTATGCACGGGTCCCCTGAAACTTGATTCCAAGGGTTTCTCTTGCGTAGTGGTCCCCAAACTTTTCCCCCCCATGACTCCTTCATGAATTTTCAGATTTTCATTTATCCTCAAACAGTTATTATATGAAAATAATTTGATAAATACTATTTTAATGAATACCATTACAAATAACAACAACGTTAATGGAAAGTCCCATCGATCCTTGGGGGGATTGATATTGGCCACTTCGGCGAACTGTGTTTGAAAAGTTAAAAATTGGAAAAAGGCTAATTTAAATAGTTTAATCTAGTCTAATCAATTGTCTGAAAGGTGCTTTTTTTCCAGAGGCAATTGGACCAGAGGTGGGATTCACTTACTTACATTTGCGAACCGGTAGGGAAGGTAAGTGAATCCCACTTCTGGTCCAATTGCCTTTGGAATTGCCACCTCTGCACAAGTGCAGTAGTCACACATTACATTTGGGTGGGTGGGCGTAGCCTCCCAAAGTCGCTGCTACAAGTTCACGCGATCCGGAGAGAACCGGCTGAATCCCACCACTGAATTGGACTGTTTTTTATTTGAAGATGATGTTTATAACAGCTGGTGGTTGTTGGATAAGAAGTGAAAACGTCTTCTTTTTCCTCAAATAAAAAACAATCCAGTTGGCTTTTTTTGGGTGGTGGGGGGGGAAGCATCTTGGAAATCACTATGATCTGGATGACTGAGAAACTCCATAAATCTAATCAATTATTTTGAGTAGCTGTATGTAGTCTAACAAAATTTATTTAAAAAATTCAATTGTTTCAGGATAGAAGACAACATTATTTTGGATACTTCAGTTTGCTTCTTCTCCAGACTAAAAATGCCCAACACTTACAAATGTTCCTCATACAATTTTCCTCTGAGGTCCTTTATCAACTTTGTTGTTTCTCTGAATATATTCCATCTCATCAATATTTTTTCTAAAATGAGATGTCAGGTACTCAGTACAATATAGATGGGATTTGGCCAATGGACATATCTTGGTTTTGACATCTTTTTTCTGTAGATTCAATTACAGTTGCTTTTTTACCATTTACTTTACATGGTTGTCTCATAATAAAAAACACTTTTTTTGCCTGTATGGTCCCCTGTTCTACATTCATGCTTCTGCTTTTTCCTATCCAAATATTAGACATCACATTTGCCCTTACCAAATTTAATAGTGACTGATTACTGGCTTTGTTTCCACCTTTCCAGCAACATGATACTGCCTTCTATGATACTTTCCATTCCCCTTCTCTTTGTGTCATCTGTAAATATGGTAATAATATTTCCAAACCCTCATTCAGGTCATTGATAAATATGTTGAACAACATAAGACCTAGAACAGAACCTAACAGCTCACCATTTGACACTTCCCTCCAGCTTAACCTATCATTTGATCTGTATTTTATATGTTTATTCAAACAATTCTGAATCAATTTAAAATAGCTAAAACAGGCCCTTTTCCCTAGTACAAGTGGCAGACTTTATCAAGCTTTATTGATGTGCATGTATTAATTTATTTATTTATTCATCAAATTTATATGACTGCCCATCCCATGAAAAAGTGACTCTGGGTGGTGTACAATAAAACCTAAGAGTTGACAATTAAAAATATATAATTCGGGAGCGGGGGGGGGGGGGATAAAATACTACATCCACTCTATTTCCCAGGCAATTAAATTGGAGAGAAAGAGTTGGCTCCTGCCAAGAAATGCATTCCCTTCTAAATTCTCGCCAACCAATTGTTTAATGATTTGTTTCTGAATTTTGCTCAGTATTACTGTCAAGCTGACCTGGTTTATATTGTTTCTTTTTAAGAGTAGAACAACAGTTACCTATCTCCAGTCATCTGCCATGATTTCTTAAAGTTCACAGGAAGGGACTCTAAAGACATCTACAACTTCCTTTACAACTTTTGGATGTAATTGCTCTTGTTATGGAGATTTGAATTCATCGCTAATATTTCCTAACCCTAATTTTATTTACCCTTGATTTTTCACTTCCTCTGTTTGTTAGTGGTTCTGAGCAGTTATATTTGAATTCATTGGGGGGTGGGAGACTAAAGCAAATGAGGAGCTGAAGACTTCTGCATGCTTGCTCTCTATTTATTATCCTACCATTTTCTCCTAGGAGTGGGCCTCTTCCTTCCTTCCTTTTTCTTTCTTTTACTATTGTCATAATTGAAAAAGCCACTTTTCTTGCTTTTAGCTTCCCTTGGAAGCGTAGGTTCCTTTGGTTTATTTAGCCTTTCTAACTTGTTTTCTGTGAATATTATATATTTGCTGATAGTCAGCAGCAAATATATAACATTAATGATTACACTTACATTTTAATTCTTATAAATGTCCCTTTTAACTCTAAAATGCCATTCTTTTTGAAATGCTATGACATTAGACTTCTAGTATCCTACTATTCAGAAATTGCCAACTTTCCTAGACTTCTTTTGTATTTTTGTCCATAAGGGCTCAATTTATAATTTTATAAACTTAATAAAATTGGCTTTTTTTAAAATCTGGGATGCAGGTACAACTATGCTCCAATTTCTTTTTTGAGGATATGGCGAGCCTCAAGATAATGTGATCAATTCCTCTTAAGCTTGCACTGCTTTCATTCTTTAATCAATTGTTCCCTGTTGGTGATCTAGTTCACCAGATCTCCCTTGTTGCTTTTTATATGAAAAATAAAATAATTGATAACAAATTTTTGAGGTTTGACTGCATTGATTTTTCCCCTATAGCTGTAGGTTTGTTATTTCTCATTCTTTGTATTTTTACCAAATGCTTTCAACTGAATCTTTCCTTTGTTCCTCTTCCTCTTCTTTATTGGTTTACATATTATTTTAATCATGATGAAGGATTACATTCCAATGCAGAATTCAACATAGGAAGACTAAGGGCATTTTCCCAATTATTCAGTATCTAGCTGTAGATGTTACAAGGTAGTTATCTGCAGTAGGGAGCAATTGTGCATGCGAAGACTTCTATGTGAGCTAGAAATTGGATAATGCAGATTTTCAGCTCATATGGAAGAGTTCACTTATAGAGAAGACGACTCATCACTATTGACAATCATATGACATCACACAACAGGATATACAGAGGAGAAGGGCTACAGTGCCATTGTTTAACCTGCATTGAGATCTCTATAACAATTTATGACCTCTATTGTATTATGTCAAACAAATACTCCCAGACTTAACTTGAAGAATTTTGCTTTTATTAGCATTCTTAGAATCTAAAGGTTTATGTGTTTCATTATCACCCAGGGATAGTTGCAAATACAGTGCAAACAGAATAAATAGGCTTAACAGAAGTTTTCTAACATTTCACACCATCAAACTATATTTGTACTGCTTGGGCCCCCAACATGTTCCTGATTTCAGTCAATTACCTATCAACATGCACTACTGTGTCTGCTAGGATTCTTTTACTTTGGGTAAAAATTGATTTGCTGCAAAGCAAAGCATTAATCTAATTGATATTTTTCACAATGCCCCTCAGCCATAATCTCAATCTCAAAGGCATTACTGGAAAATTAAATGCTGGAGGTCTCTAGCCCAGTTCTTTGCATACCTTCTGATATATGAGTATTGTGTAATTATCCGTACCCAAGAACTCCACATTTGTTTGCTACCTGCCCAAAACCGGATACTGCTACAGGGGCAGGTTCT